CCGTTTCATGCAATTTCCATGCGAATGAAGATAAAGAAAATAAAGGAGATGATCCCTTTAATGTTCACAGAAGAAGATGACGCTTATGTGTCGTCTGACGATGAGGAAATGGAAAAGAAGCTACTGCAACAGCGATTGTACAAGAAAATGGTAGGTGATCCTGGTTCAGTAATTCAGTGTTCTCCATTCTTTATCACTTGATCCACATTTGTTTGATATTTTCTGGATCATTGTTGTTTGGAACAGGAGCAAAAGACCAAGACTTCATCACTTACCGGATATGAAAACTCTGAGGAAATTCTTCGATACATCAAGAAGCCTGAGATCATGAAGAAAGCAAAACCTTGTAAGATACCACCCAAGTTTCTCCCTCTTTATGTAATTAGTTGGATCCATTGCTTATAACCATTCTGTTTAAACTGTTTTCAGCTTTTAAAGAGAAGGCACTCCTGGGAATAAACAAAAACCTTGCTGCATCCAAGGTATTATATATAATAAGCCTTCTTCAGTTACTGAAGCTTAGGGCACTCTTTAAGACTGTATAATTGCAACTTACTCATGCCATGAATCTTTTGCAGTCATCCTTTTTGGGCAGAATCACAAAGAACTCCACATCAGAAGGATCACGAAAGCGCGGATCAAACATTGTACGTGGCTATATATTCGAACGTGATGACAATAACAGTAAAAGCTCAAACTCAGCCCCAGAGGAACCTTTAGTTCAAGAGACGGTAAAACTCTCTCTATAAAAACCACATCAAGATTTTCTAGTACACACATTATATATCTATTCTTCATAACATTTGCAGATTATTCAAGAAAAGAGTCGACCAAAACGAGCTCCGGCAAAATTCACCGCTTCACAGACACAGGAGAGATCAGCAACACTACAGGCGAAGGCGGTGGAGGAGGAGACGAGCACGAGGCAAAGAACAACCTTATTCGAGATTCTAAAGATGTCTTCAAAGAAAACTTGCTTCACTTCAGGAGAGACAGTGATAAGCAGCAGCCACACTGAGTCTATATTTGCTGCTTTCAAATTGGATAAGAACCCAATTAAGACGAATCCATAAGTAAACACTCTCTTGTGAAATCATTTCTCCATTTTTCTGTTTCATCTAAATAATAGTATCATAACAGTTTTTTTTTATCAAACGAATGTCTAACAGGAAAGAAAGATGAAATCAGTTAAATCAAAGATAAAAAAGAGAAGTGTGGCAATGAAACTGCACGTGTGGAATCACTGGACACGTGTGGAATCTTGTTTGTGTGTCCACCAAAACGGCGTAGGACCGAGCGTTTTGGCATATTCCTTGATCAGATTCATCAGTATAAATTCCTCAAGTACATAGGTTGGTTGCTGCAACTATAGAGATTTCCTTGATCATCCATCGTAGTCATTCGAATCTTTAATAATTTATTCTAGTTTTTTAATAAATTACTCATGTTTCAATCAACTAATCTCCATTAAGAATTAATTAACTTTCA